CCTGAATTGCTACTCCTCTGTCCCTTTGGCAGCACCTACTCTGCACCAGTGCAGAGGAGATCACGCTGCTGGGGCAGCCCCTTGGTGCCTAGGGGTACCCCAGGAAGGGGTCTAGCCTAATGAGCACAAGAGCCCACTGGCGCGGTACGTACAAAGACACAGGGCTGGGACAGACAAACCCCAGTGCCCGTCCATCTCTGGGCACCCAGCAGGTCCGAGAGGTACCCGCACCAGGCCAGGGTGCAGGTTCCTGCCAGGGGCAGCACTGGGCATTGGCATCCAGTGGTGCCCAGGGCCGGGAGCGTGCCCAGCTCCCATGCCTTTCATCATCACTTGCCTGGATGAGTCAACACCACACGCTTAATGATTGACAAGGAAAAATCTTCCCCCGGGGTCAGGTCTGTGAGCTTCCAGAAAAGCAAAAGACGTTCCCTCCCCACAGCCTCCTGGCTGGAGGTGGCCAGGATGCGGCCAACTGGGGACAAGGGGCAGGAGAGGAGCCTGGAGCTCTGAAGCTTCTCACTCTGACAGGATGGGGGAGAAACCTTGGGCTGGTGGGTAGGGGAGGGATGAGGGCTGTCAGCACTCTGCCCCACAGCAAACGCCCACAGGAGGGAAGAAGTGCTGAAACATCCCCATGGAGCTTGGACCAGCAACAACAGATGGGGCTGGAGGCCAAGTGAGAGATGACATCCTGGGAAGAGCTATGAGCTGAGGATGCAGGGGCAGTGACAGTACCCAGCTGGCAGGTAGTAGTGCCACCGAGCACTGGGGACAAGGATTACAGCTGCTACCCATGACTCGCTGCTCGAAGAAGGGGAACTTTGCCCCAGCGTTGCAAACACAGGGCACTGAGCCCAGGAACAGGCAGGTTTGCCTGCAGACACCTTCCCAAAATAACCCTGGCAGCCAAATGCCTTGGCCACAGTGGCAGACAGCCCAGAGAGATCCAGCTCATTGGCCCCCCATGGTCCTATGGGAGCTGCCCCATATAGGGGGATGTAGGGCATCTCTTGTCCCCAGCCCCACCAAGGCAGCTGCATCTCATCCCCCCTTCCCCAGGGGAGCCTCTTCTCCCAGCTCCTGCTTGAACCAGCTGGGATTTACCCCCTGCACACAACAGGGAGCAGCATCCACCCCCTTTGGTGCAAGCACAAGAATGGCTGCACCGTGACACAGTCTACATCAGCCTGTCCTGGGGGGCACCCGCTGCACCCCAGGGACAGAGCAAGAACAGGCCAAGATGGTCTTTAGCAAAATCCATCAATTTATTTATTTACACAGTCAGCAATAAATAGAGGAAAGCCAGGCAGCAGGGGTGCTGGGAGCAGGACCAACCCCTTTGGGAACAAGGGCAGGCCAGGTGCCCAGCAGAGCCCAAGCCCCGTGGGACAGCAAGGGTGCGAGAAGGCAGAGGGACACCACGACGGGGGGCCAACCCCTGGGACAGGGCGAGACCCAAGCCCTGCTAGAGGGCAAGCCAAATAGGTGAAGGACAGGGGTGGCAGAGGAAGCAGCGGGCAGAGCCCAGCATAGGCAGCTGCCTGGCCCCAGCACTGGGAACAGAGCTGGCAGCTCAGGTCCCTCCAGTTTTCACAGCCCCCCAGAGCAGAACTGCAGGGGAGGAGAGGGGCTTCCCCCCCCCAGCCCAATTCCCAGCCCAGTGAGATGCCGCCGCAGCTGGGACTAGACAGGATGGGGCGCATGTGAGCTGGGAAGGAATCCCACAGGCAGGGTTGCACCGGATACTGACGGCACCAGCTTGGTGCCAAGCTCAGGGACACCTGGACCGCTTGCCCTCCCTGCCCTGGCTCCACCAGGAGACCCCTCAGCCACCTCCTAAGAGCTTCGTGCTCCAGTTCAGGGACCCAGCTCTTCTCTGGGAGCATCGGGCCAAGGCCTCCTGCCCCCCAAAAACAGGCAGTGGCCGTGGGGCTGCAGAAAGGACAGATGCCATGGGCCAACCGCTCCAGCACAGGCTCCTGCCTTTAAAAACCTACAATTTACATAAAACTGCCATTGTAAAACCTTCCCACAGAGCAGTGCCGCACGGGGGGGTGGGGTGGGGTGGGGAGGTATGAACCCACCCCAGGCAGAGCAAGACAAACCCTAAAGTCCGGATCCGGCAGGGACAGGCAGAGCCTGGGGGTGATGTGCCAGGGCAGCAGGCGTTACCGGCAGGTGCAGGACTCTGCGATCATGTTCTCATACTCCTTGTAGAGGATGCCACCGTCCCGCTCGATCATGAGGACGCTGATGGGGCTGTAGCGGTAGGGGACGCAGGAGGGCCGGGGCACGTTGGCATCCACCAGCTGATGGACGAAGCTCTGCACCACAGCGTGGTTGGGTGCGTGGTAGTCGTAGCGGAGCAGGCGGGGACAGGCACCCTTGCAGTAGCGCGGGTTGTAGCGGTGGGGAGCGATGATCCAGTGGTCCCAGCCCAGCTGGGCAAAGCTGACAGGGAAGGGGCGCAGGGAGCAGTCACTCTTCTCCCCTCCCTGCTCCCGCAGGTAACTGCGCAGGTCGTGGGCCAGCGTCCCCGTGTCACGACGGTGCCGGCGGGGCTCTGTCACCGGAGGTGCCAGCCCAGCCTGGGTGTCGTTGAGGTAGAGGAGGAGGAAAGGGTGGCTAGGGGCCTCTGGGGGATCACGGCCCCCCGCCCGGCTGGCATACACACAGATGTGCTGCAGCGCCAGGCTTCCTGCTCTGCTGTTCCCTGGCACCAGGTAAGGGGTGACGTCTGCTTCAGCCCAGCCGTGATGGGGTCGGGTGGCAGGGCTGAGCAGCACCCTGGGTGCCTCGCCGGTGGCCGCCAGCTCCAGGGCACAGAGGAGGCGTCCACGGGCCAGCAGCAGGCTGGGCAGGTAGACCACAGTGGCTCGGAGGAGGTGCTCGGCCTCAGGCTGGCCCTCCAGGTGGTAGGTGAGGGGCTGCACGTACCAGCGACCTGCAGGGAAGCAGTGGTCAGCGTCCCCCTGGTATGGCACAGCAGGCACCATGCCAGCATAGCCTTCTCCCAGGGTGCTGCCACAGCCCTGCATGGCGCGGTGGAGCCCGTGGCATCACCGCCCTTAAAGCCCGCAACAGCCAGGTGTCCCGGCACAAAGCAGGAGCCTCAGCAAACAGCAGCTGTGTGCCGCAGCTTGCCCGTGGGTGAAGGGCAAAGAGCGGCTGGGACAATTCCTATCATCTGCACCAACACCACTGGCCTGGCACAGCATCGGGCAGGATGGGAAGGGGAGAAGGGCACGCAGGGCCAGCGGTGCCCTTGCCCATCTCACCCCTGGGGCAGGGAGAGCCTAGGCCCCGTGCCAAGGGGTACCCCATGGCCAAGGGCAGCCCTGCAGGGCACAGGACGCACCAGCCCTGGCCAGGACACTGCAAAGAGGGGGAGGGAGGCAGGCAGAGACCCCCCCAGGGCTCAAGCCCGCCCCGCCAGCTCTGCTAAGCCCCTGCACTGCCCCTGGTGCCCTCCTGCTCCTTACCTGCCCAGGGCTGACCCCCATGGGAACTGGCCCGGACCAAGCGGATGGTGTTGGTGCCCAGGCTGTGGCCGTGGCGGGGCCGCCCTTCGCGATCAGCGGCACGCCGGTACAGGTTCAGCATGTAGCGCAGGGGCTGCCCGCTTGCTGTCCCTGCTCGCCAGCCCCGGCTGCCTGGTGCCCGAACTTGCAGGGCCTGCAGGAGGGGCAGGGGGGGGACAGCGGGCAGGGAGCCAGGGGGCAGCAGGGACCGGTTTGCAGCCCGGGAAAGGGGCACAGCAATGAGGAGGAGGAGGAGGCTGGTGAAGGGACGGAGCAAAGCCATGATAGGTGTGAGGGTGGTGGGTGAGCGGGGCAAGGTGGGGCTGGCCTGCAGCAGGATTAGGGGAAGCCTGCAGTCATGCTTCCCCCAGAGAGGCAGAGCTGGTTGTACACACCAGCAAAAGGAGACCCCAGGGTGCTGCCAGCTGCTATCAAGCCAGGACAACCATGCCAGCTGCTTCAGCTTGGCACAGGAACAGAAAGGTGGGGGGGGCTCTGTATGCAAAAAGGGGTGCAAATTCCAGACTAAAACCCAGACCAGGGGCAAAGCCAGCCAGCCAGGAGCCTGGCTACAGGGGCTGTAAAAGTGCCGGGGTGGGGGAGTGGGGTGGAGGGATCAGCCCACCTGCTCCTGGCCAGCCTCCTCCTGCAGGGTGAGAGGTGCCCGCCCCGGGGCCCATTTTAAAGGCATGGCCCCAATCAGGGTTTAAAGGGCCAGGAGCTCCCTGGGTCCCAGAGGAGGGGGGCTGGAGCCCGGCGGTGTGGTCTGCTGGAGCCCCTTCAACTCCCCCCCACCCTGTGCTGACACTCTGGCAGCGGGCTCAGGACCCTTGTGCCCGTTGCTGCCCAGAGCAGGCACAGAGCCTGGGGGTCAGCTCCCAGACCGGCCCCAGCAGCGCTGACTGTGGCCGGGTCAGCCAGTGGTAGCCACGCTGCAGGCATCACCATGCCTGCAGCTTCACCAGGCTTGGCCGTCCCGGCTCCAAGGTCTTTCTGCCAGCACCTGCCCAGGGCTGAGGGGTTGCAAGGGTGATGCCCACCTTCTCACTGGCACGGGTCATTCGAGGCGTTGCCCTTACAGGGGACATTGCCCGCCAGCCCCAGTGCCGCTCTGTGGTGCTTGCCCGAGGCAGGCTCCGTGGGTGACCCACAGAACGGGGTGCGGGCAGCCGTGGCCCATGCCCCTGGCAGAGCGCCTGGCGCAGTGCCCAGCCCCATAGGACACCGCTGCTCTCCTGCCGGGATGGAGAGGGCCGGGGGGGGTGGACACTCTGGTTAGGAACCACTGGTGCAGGCATAGGAACATGGGGGGAGCTGGGGGGTGTGTTGGTGCCTGCCTTGCCCTGGGTGCTGCCCACCCTCCCTGGTGCCAGCCGGTAAGGGCCATGTGGGGTGGTGCTGGGGCGGGGGGGGATGCGGTGGTTAATGGGGTGTGGGGCCACGTGACAAGCCAGGGTGCAGAGCCCTCATGCCTGGCTGGGCAGCCCTGGTTACTCATTTGGGAAAGGGCACGGGGGCAGCCAAGCTCAGTGGAGGCTGGGAAAAGTCCGGGCATGGCAGGAGCCAGCCATGAGTAGGGGGCAAGGCAAGGCGGGCGGCAAGGCCACGGGGGGGAGAGCAAGAGAGTCGGGCCAGGGGTGGACATGTCGAGGCCGTGAGAGGGGGGCCGTGCATTGATGCTAGGTGGACTCCAGCACCGCAAACAGCCTGGGGACCACCCCATCCCTGTGCCCCGGGACCCCCTGGCGCAAGGACAGGGCACATGTACTGGGCTGCCTGCAGCCGGGCTGGGCAGGCTGCAGGCAGGGTTCAAAGCAGGCAAGACAATGCCTGGACAATGGCTGCCAAGAAAAACTCGAGGGACCCTTCCTGCGCCGGGGCTGAGCAACCCTGGGGTAGCTTGCCAGCCCGGCACAGCAAGCCCACCCTCCCGGGCCGCAGCGCTGCGCCCGCCCAGCCTGCAGGCAGCCCCGGGCCGCGGGCGTTGCTGGCAGGGCAGAGCTTTCCGGGCTGGCTGTGCTGTCTGGGAAGGAGATGAGTAAGAGCCGGGGCCCCGGGCGGGAAGGGGAGGAGCGGGACTCCCGGGCTCCCCCGGGAGCCAGCGCCGATCCACTCCCACTGCCCCCAGCTGCTGCCCGCCACCTCCTTCCCCTGCCTCAGTTTCCCCAAACGGGCACAGCAGCCCCTCCTGGACTTGGTGGGGGAAAGGCAGAGGTGCAGCACAGCCGTACTGCCATGCACGCAGTCCCGGCAGGACAGGGTGGGGGCTGGAATGGCCAGACAGGAGCCGGCAGCGCGTGCTCGCCTGCAGGCAGTGGGGCTCAGGGCGCCAGCGTGATTGCCGGGGCGGGGTGCCGCGGGGAGCCTTCTGCCCCGGGGAGCTGTGGTGGGTGCTGCGTCACCCCACTGCCACCCGAGCAGGCATCCCCTCGCACCTGCGTGAGCGCTGCCAAACTGCTGACCACACCACGCTGCCGTGCTACGTTGAGCTGTGCCAAGCTGAGCCATGCCATGCCAGGCTGAGCTGTGCCGAGCTGGCCCTAATGGTGCTGGTGCCTGGAGGTACCATACTGTGCTTGGCCAAACTGGGTCGTGCTGTGCTGAACCATGCCAGGCCAAGCTAAGCCACACCAGGCCATGCTGTGCTGAACTGAACTGTGCCAGCCCTGCTTGTCCAAGTCAACCCGAGTTGAACTGCACTGAACGAAACTGCACCAGGCCAAGTAGAGCCAAACCAGGTCAGGCCCCTGGCCATGCCACGCTGTACCGAACTGAACCGTGCCAGCCCTGTGTTGTGCGATGCTGAGCTGAGACAAGCCAGAATGTGCCAACCCAGCTGAGCTGCACCGAACCATGCCGGGCCGAGCCATGCTGGGTCAGCCAACCCATGCTGGCCCCCTTGCCATCCCATGCTGAGCTGAGCCAAATTGTGCTGGGCTGAGCTGTGCTGTGCCATGCTGAACTGAACTGTGCCAGCCCTCCATGTCGTGCCATGCTGGGCTGAGCTAGACTGAGTTGAATGATGCTGGCTGGGCAGTGCCAGGCTGAGCCAAGGAGCTCAGTGCAGGTCCCTGGGCTGAGCTGTGCTGTGCCAAGCCGAGCCGCGTAGCATGGTGCTGTGCCATTGTGTGCTGAGCCGTGCCAAGCTGTGCCATGAGCTGTGCTGTGCCGTGCCATGCTGTGCTGAGCTGAGGCGTGCCGAGCTGAGCTGTGCCGTGGCTGTGCTGAACTGGGCTGAGCCGAGCTGTGCCAAGCCAAGCTGTGCCATGCTGTGCTGAACCATGCCATGCTGTGCTGTGCTGAGCCGTGCCATGCTGTGCTGTGCCTAGTTGAGCTGAGCCATGCCATCCTATGCTGAGTTGTGTCATGCCAAGCTGAGCTGTGCTGTGCCTAGTGGAGTCAAGCTGAGCCATGCCAAACTGAGCTGTGCCATGCTGTGCCTAGCTGTGCCATACCGAGCCGAGCCATGCCGTGCCGTGCCAAGCCAAGCTGAGCTGTGCCGTGCCATGCCGTGC